CCTGCACAGTGGTTCAGAAGCCCAGGAGCTTCTTYCCAAGGATCAATGCTCCACTCAGGAGCTCTGTGTCATTATTATCAAACTCTATGCTTGTCACAAAAGCTGGGCCCTCTGGGGACCTCATCCCAGCTGCACATCTGTACTTTCCTGTTGTCCAGAAGGCAAACATCCTTGAGGAAAATTCACCATGGCACCACTGCAGAAATGGATRGAGGTTCAGTTGCAGACACTGCCCTAGACCTTGCCAGGCTCTAAGGGGGAAGCAGATGGCCCAAGGAGCTCAAGGGGTTTTTGTTACAGTGTGTATCACCATGTGGGTGGAGAGCTAGCCCAGTACTGACAGTAGTACATTGCAACATCTTCAGCCTCCACACTGCTGATGGAGAGCGTGTAGGAGGTCCCAGACCCACTGCCACTGAAGCGCTCTGGGACTCCAGAGGCCACGCTGGATGTTCTATAGATCAGTAGCCATGGAGAGGACCCCAGCTTTTGTTGGTAGAAGTGCAAGTAGCTGGTGCTTATACTGGAGCTGTCTGTGCAGGTCATGGTGACCCTCTCCCCTTGGGAAGCAGCCAGGGACCCTGGAGACTGCATGAGCACAATTTCTCCACTGGACACTATGCTCACTTGGGAGAGATGAAAAGATAGAAAAATTAGCAGAAATGGAGACACATGGACTTCTTCATACCAGACAAGGTACAGAAGCAACTTAGTCCAAAACCCTGGCGTAGGCTCCAACTAAATCATGTGGGAAGTGGACTCTGGTCATGAACTTTCTCTTTCCTACCTGTGACACTGAACAGCAGGAAGCTGACAATTTGAGCCTGAAGGTCCATGGTGTTGTCTGAGGTGAACACTCCTCTTCCCCCAGGGACACCTTAAATTGGCTCACAATTCTGTGATCTCTGAGAGGAAACATGCAAATCAGCAGGATGGGCGGAGAAACACTGGCCCATAGACAATGTGGTCCTCCCATCGCAGAAACTGAGGTGGCCTAGGGAGCAGGACCTGAGTGTGTGCTGAGCTCCTGTCCAGAGTCCTCCTGTGTTTCTTGGCTTCATCTGACCTAGTGAACAAGGAAGCCCTCATGTACCTGTGCTTCTCCTGTCTGCAGCAGGTCAGTGTCCTCTGTGAGTTGGACTTGCTCAGGAGGACTACATGGACTGTCTATCAGAGTGTCCTAGGCCACACCCTGCCTCTGTCCTCCTTGATAGTGGCTTCAAGGCCTTTCCCATCCCTCATGGCCTCCTAGATGGCTGAACTCCAGTATGAACTGGATCTCACATCCTCAGGGAGGTGGCCACAAAACCAGGCAGGGATTCCAGGAAGAGAGGAAAGCCAAGTAAGGAGAAGCAAGGACTCTGTCCCACTGAAGGACTCAGCCCTCTGCACATCCCAGCTACAGTTTCTGTAGGCTCCATCCTGGCCTGGTGTCACAGGACCCTGGGCTTGAGAAGCTGAAGGCAGCCTCAGATTTACCCTCAATAGGAGCCCTGTCCTGTCCTGAAGGGTTAAGCTGACATCATGTGTCCCTCTGGGAGTGTGGGAGAGGAGTTTTTAAGTAAGTGATGTTTTCATTTTCAAAGAGTGAGTGACTATACTGGGGTCAGAAAGTTTACCTAAAAATCTTATCAAGGCCAGATTGTGACATGATTTATCCAGTATTACAGCAAATCCACCCCCATTCCTGCCTACACTGCAGAGAGGCAAAAACCAGGGGGAAGGCTGGAGCTATCTCCAGAGCTTCCACAGGATGGAGGCAATGCCTCAGAGGCTCCCTGGTGATGGAATTCTCCCAGGGAGATCCTCAGTGGTCCCACTTTTGGGACAAGGAGGAAGTGATCAAATGACACTAGCAGTTTCGTTTCCCTGCCAGGCCTTTGGCTTGGTCTTAGGTTGAAATTGGCCTCATAGAACAGGTTGGGAAGTTCTTCTTCCTGCCTGTCCAGAAAGTTGAGTATTACTGATGACATTTCTACTTCAAATATGTGATTGRATTCCCCAATGATATCCTGACTGTGTGCTTTCCTTTATTTAAAAACTTTAAAATTCTTTTCTTGTTATAATCCTATCCAATTTTTCTAGATATTCTTGAGTCACTTAATAGTTTATCTCTTTCTGAGAGTTGTTGTATTTCATTTGAATTGCATAATTTGACAATAATTGCATGTTTTCATATTCTATTATAATGTTTTAAAATTTCTGTAGATTCATGACCAATTATGACACTGACTTCGGTCATCTCTGCCTTCTCTCTTTTTTCTGGATAAATTTTTGTAACGGTCTGCAAGGTTTCTGATCTTCCCAGGAAATCACCATTTGGTGTCATTGATTTTCTGGTTCTCTTTCATTTATCTTTTACTTTATATGATATAATTTTCTTCTATCTGTTTGCTCTAGATTTCTCTTTCTTCTCCTAGTTTCTAAGGGTACATAATTGATTTCAGATTTTTTTTAATTACTAGAACATAAAATTAGAGGCTTATATTTGTAAATTTAAATATCCATTTATTCACTACAAATTTGCCACTTTGACAGAGGGGCAGCTTGGCCATTTTCTCACTTGGGAAGCAACAGCAGGAGATGGAGAAGCTGGAATGAGGAGGCCATTCTGTGATTCTTGTGAGCTATGAAGTTCAGGCCCATCACCAGGGGAAGCTCCCACATGGGACAGCTGAGTGCAGGGGCTATTTGTAAGAGAGAGGAAGGAAAAAAGCCAAAGCCCTGATACTATGTCAGTTGAGGAGGACACCCCAAGGGGCCCCAGGGTACAGATCCCTTTTTTTCACCAATGTGACCAACCGTCCTCTTGAGGTTGTAGAGCTGTGAATAGCTTCCAGCCCAAGCAATATCACCAAAGCGGAGAGACTTTTCAGATGTAGTGAGGATGCTTGATGAATTGGTATGAGTTGAAGAGAGGGAGGTCCTCTGGAAAGACTTGACTTGATGCTTTATTATGGACTAAGAAAACATTTATATACCAACAAACGCTAATATGTAGACAGACAAATTTAGAAATTAATATGAATTTTATTAGACTAAACTGTTGCAAAGCACAACTTAGAATAGCTCTACTCCTTTAGTAGGAATACAGAATCCCAAGGAAAACCAGAATAGAGGTACAGAATAGAGGATACAGAGTCAAACCCACATGAATGCAGTTATCTCATATTAGACAAAGGCACCAAAAACATACATTGGAGACAAGATAGTCTCTTCAAGAAATGGTACTGGGAAAAATGGAAAGCCATATGCAGCAAAATGAAATCAAGCCCTAACTCTCACCATGCACAAAACTCAACTCACAATGGGTCAGGGACCTAGGAATTAGACCAGAGACCCTGTGCCTAATGGAAGAAAAAGTAGGCCCAAATCTTCATCATGTCAGATTAGACACCCACTTCCTTAACAAGACTCTCAGCAAAATAATTAGTGAGGTGAAGAGAAAGCCTAAAGAATAGGAGCAATGTTTTAACACATGCACATCAGATGGAGCATTAATCTCTAGGATATCTAAAGAACTCAAAAAGGAACACCAAATTAATGATAATTATTATTAGTATTATAATAATAACAATAACCCATTAATTAACTGGGCTAAGGAACTGAAGAAGAAATACAATTGATCTCAGAAGAAGAAATACAGTTGATCAACAAATATAAGAAAATATGTTCAACATCTCTAGCAATTACAGAAATGCAAATTGAAACTACTTTAATATTTTATCTCACTCCAGTTAGATTGACAGGTAGCAAGAATACAAGCAACAATATGTGTTGCCAAAGATGTGGGAGAAAAGACACACTCTTAACATTGCTCATGGTACTGAGAATTGGTGCCACCAATCTGAAAAGCACTATAGATATTTCTTAGGAAACTTGGAATGGAACCACCATTTGAACCGGATATCACACTCCTTGGTTTATACTCAAAGGACTTAAAAAGAGCATACTACCGTGACACTGCCAAATCAATGTTTATAGGAGCACAATTCACAATAGCTAAGCTGTGGAACCAACCTAGAAGTCCTTCAACAGATGAATGGATAAAGAAACTTGGATATATACACAATGGAATATTACTTGGTATATTACACAATGGAATTAGAAGAGAATAAAATTATGGCTTTTCAAGTAAATGGATAGAGTTGGAGAATATCATTCTAAGCAAAATATACCAATCCCAAAAAAACAAAGGCCAAATGTTTTCTATGATAAGTAGATGCTGCTCCATAATGCAGGGGGTGGGGAGGCATGGGATAAATGGAGGAACTTTGGATTGGAAAAATAGGAGAGAAATGAAGGAAGGGAGTCTGGAGTTAGGAAAGATAGTGGATGACAAGAACATCACTATCCTGGTTGCATGTATTATTGCAGGAATGATGTGACTCTATTTCGTGTATAACCAGAGAAGTAAGCATTGTGCCCCATTTGTGTACTAAGAATTGAAGAGTATTGTGCTGTCATATATAACTAATTAGAACAAATAAATGAAAATTTTTAAAAAGTAACGTCCATTTTAGAGCAACAAGGGCTATATTCAAAGACAAGTTGGACCACTGTTAAAAAGCTTTATCCACAGCTAAGCCATATCCAACCAGGAGACATTGACCTTTTGTAGTGCTGAACCCTAAATCAGACCATCTATGTTGGGGACAGACCTTTTCCACTCATGAGCCCTGTGAATTGGATGGAGCATTCAAAAGGCCCTTTGTGTCACAAGGACACATGTGAAGACTGCCTTCCCCAGGGTCCAAAGCAGCCTCCAGAGTCTCAGGAGGCCCTGAATAGACATGGCACTCTTCAGTTCCTCTCCCCACCTGAAACCCCAAACTAGGATAATACATTATTAATATTGCCCATAATTAAGAGGAGGAAGATTCTATGCATTTTCTAGAGTGCTAAAGGTATTTTCTCAGGATTTGAATCAAAGAATATGCTTGTTTTCTCAGTGTGACAGTTGT